TATGTAAGCATTGGAGATAAAAATCTAAAAGCAGTTACTGTGTGATGCCACCATATGCCAAGAACATGACATGCATTGTATATTCTTCCCCAATAGACTGTAAGCTCCACCAGAGCAGGGAAAGTTCATATATCCCAGTGCCTAGGTGTAGCAGGTACTATCCTTTCTTCCCCTGGCATTTACCTCCCCACACATGTTTGAATACAAAGCACTTCAGAAATCCCAGAGATTTAACACCTCCACAGCAGCCATTACAATGGGTGGTAGTTGGTACATAAATTCCACAGTCCATCCACCCCTCAGGTGGAATAATTCTGAGGCATGTCTTATACATTCCACAGATGACGGTACCTGGAACATAGACCTGTATGGCTGGCTAACTATGTAGCCTACACTGGGGCATCATAATCGAGCCCTCAACACAGTGCTTGGTAGTGTTAATAAGAGGTTTATCTCCCTTTGGCTGCTTCCTTTGACCCTGAGGAGCAACTATCCAGGGAGTCATGTGTCTTGGTTAGGAACTGCCAGATAAATCATAGGTCTATAGATCCTCTGGATCAGCTGTTTGTGACATGATAGCTTGCCACAGGGTGCTATACTGGTAGTTGCTATATGCTGAAAGGTAAGACATGTCCATTTGCATTAAAACAATGTCCCACAAATCTGGGTAAAAGGTAGGCCAGGTGATACCTTCTAATCAATGTTGTTTTTGGAATGATAGATAATGAACGGCTCATAAACTCAGGGTGCCTGACAAACTTTCTAAAGGTTCTTCTTCCATGCACGTGTTCATTATGACTGTTCATAGGAGTAACCGAGGCTCTGCAAAGATAACAGCCCAGGATGTGTGGGGTCAGCAGGTGTCATGGTAGTTAAGGTGCTAGACTCTCACATGGTCAACTGTGGTTTGAGTCCTGGATCTTGCAGCTTGAAATTCATGCTGGGCTCATGTGCATACATGCCCAAAATCTAAAAAGGAGAATGGAAGAGAGGGGATTGTGGCATGACCATCTCCCCTGGAGGATGGTGTCTCACTTTCCCTCTCACTGTTTCTGTCTGTCTCTCTGGCAGTGCATACACCTTATGACAAAACAATAAATAAAAATAAAAATAAAAAATAAAAATAAAAAAAAAACTTTAATGCCCAATATCTAATACCCAAAGACAGGATCTGGGAGAACAGCCTTCTCCAAGTAAGTTCACCTCCATCATAAATGGATATCTTAGTATCATTCTCACAGATTTGTTTGATTTTCACTTTCCCTGAGAATTAAAAAGAGACCAGCCTATGGGTGGCCTTCATGCTCTATTCTATTTTGTCCTGATGTTAAACATAAAAGTTTCCTTTAACTCAAGCCATTAAAATACTCAAGCTGGTTTCTTCCCTCCCAGTGATACATTTCCCTGCACCCATCACAACCAGGAATTTCAGGAGTTCCCCAGGGGGTGGACTATGAATTAATTGTGGAAAGACAAATTAATCAACTCCAACTGAGAAACATGAGGAGCCTTGAACCAAAAGCTGATAGTTGCTATAGAAAGTGCATCTGGCATTTAAATGAGCCAAAGTTGGCCTCTGCGTGTTGGCCTTTTAGATTATTTCTTCAGCCAGGCTGAAACCTGTTAGTTACCTCAAAAGCCTGCTGGCATCACACATCCAATTATTTTTAAAATAGTCCAAATAAGCAAAATGTTAGCCATTTAGAGCCTGCCTGCTCTGCATACCCCCATGAAACCTCACCCAACAGCTGTTGCCCATTGATAAGATAGGGCCTTGTAGTTCTAAGGCCCCAAGCCACTGCTGCTTCTAGAAGCTCACTGACCCACAGACTTCCTGGTCTGCTACTGAGAGACATCGCCTAGACTCCAAGCTCTATTTTCAGTCTCCTCTCCTTTGTCAGCTCCCTCCCTCTCCCCACCTTCTGGATAGTGCTCTCCCTGCCATAAGCATCCCTCTGGCCAGTGTCATGCTGTGAGCAGCTTCACTCCTCTTGCTATCCTGTCCAACTGCCACCCAATACAGTTTGTTGAGTGCTATTGCCATAATCCCTCAAACCCTCTATAGTAGTCCATGGACCGGCAGCACTGCCTAACACCTTGCTAGCAAGAGAGCATCTTGGGCTCCCTCCCAGACCTGCTAAACCAGCCTCAGCATGTCAACAACAGCACCAGGATTGTGAACACTGCAATTGGAACTGTGCTTGGCTAAGAGAATTTCTTGCTAGGATCAGTGTAGTAACCAAGCATAATGCACTAAACGGACTGAATGATAAAGACATCAACCCCCATTTGGGCTGCTCTCAGCCCCTGCAAATGTCTGCTAACTCAGTTCATTGACCTTTTTTGTTTCTTTCATAGTCTATGAAGTAGGAAGGTGTGAAGACTGCCAAGTCTGAGCCCCTTTCATAGAGAATAGATTCTTCACAAGAAACCCTTAGTACCGTGCTAGACTGTGGCCCCTGTGCAAACACACACACACACAAAACCAAAGGTACTTCACACCTCTGCAGTGGGTGTGCAGATATAGGACCAGAAGCCAACCCCCTCTGGAGCTGACATACACATCCAAACTGGTTCAAAACACATTGAAATCCTCCCACCCTTGTTTCTTTTCTGGGAAAGTGAACTGAGTGCTGGATCTTGAAAAGGCACCCAAAAGAAATCTTTTGGATTCCAGCAAATTGAATATAATGATTTTTTTTTTCTTTACAAACAGTAGAGGGCAGGTGCTGAGAGATACAGATAGGAGGAGCCAGGAACAAAAGAACCCCTGCACACAAAGACACATTGATCCAGTGAGTGATTCTGAATGATGCTGGCCTCCTCCCAGGAATGTCCAGGCTTAAAGCCCCAGGGCTCCATACTGGAGAAAACATCCTAATTATTAGCCACAAAAGCCTGGATGAGACAAGTATAATTTGCTTGTGCTTACTAGATCTGCATTTAGGAAGTTAGATATGCTTGCAAACTCTCTAAGTCTACCCATAAATATTCCCCATCGGGGACCCTGCAGTGGATAAAAATCGCTTTTAAACAAAAGAGATCATTAACTCCATACAATGAATTTCACTGATTTTTTTTGAAGGAAAGTAGCCCTGATCCTCATTCAGTACTTATTCACTCTTACTTTGTCCACAACTGTAAATGTCCATAAGACTTGATTTGTTTAGTCCATAGACAACTACAGGCAACAACCTAGGAATAACCAGAATGGGGGAGGGGGTGAGAGTGTGGTAAAGAACTAACAAAAGCAGCAGTAACAGCACCAGAGGTACCCAGAAGTAGAAAAACAGCACTAAACAGCAGGCCAGAAAAAAAAAATCATTAACACCTATTAAAAGTACCTGAATAAACTCAGAAGCATTTACAATAGGGATCCTGGAAACAGATAGTACACAGTTCGATATCTCATGACAAATTCTTAGCCTTCAATAGTCATAAAACAAATTACATGTCATCTTTCCAATTTATGAAAAGGCAACTGGCTGTTACATTTTATAAATACTTCCATAATAGAACAGATTTTTTTTTTTGCTTTTTGTTTTTTGTTTTTTAAACTGTTAAGGTCTTGACACTTAGAATTGAGTTTTGATTTTGCAGAAAGTAAAGTAGCATAGAACAGCTCATCCTTCCACCAGAAGAGAAAATACTGGGCATGGCTTTATTAAATATATTGTGCCCTGATTTTCCTGGTTTATAAACATTTGGAAGTCTCTTAATTGAGCCCACCGCTTCAGAATATCCATTCAGCCTAAGTTATCTGACATCTGCAATGTGCCAAGCACTGTCTTAGGTGCTAATAATACTAACAGGAATAAGAACCAGGCCCTTTTCTCAAGGACAATTTAATTTAGGAATTCTCAGATGCCTTCTGAACAATCACGGGGAAGGGAGAAGGGGTACATTCTCTTCAGTATACGTTGAGTGGAAGCTGCATTTTACATAGAATACCTTGGAAAATAACCATGTGGGATACAGGTCATTTGGATGGTTCATTCACCTTGGAATTCCCAAACCAAAAGAAGGTGCACACACACAGTGATCAGAATTTCTCCCCATTTTTTAATCATAATGAATAAACATGTCTCTAATGACTTCCCAAAGGAGAACGGGAGAGAAAATAAATGTATTGACATGATTTATCTCAAATACTTGCTCAATGTAAATTGTTTCGAAACCTAGACATCCAGCAGAAATTTGGACTCTCCTCATGCCCTACCTTTGTAGCGATGCAGAGAACCAAGATATGGGTGCCTGAACTGGCCATGGCTTGATCCTCACTCAAAGGCTAGTATAGACTGAGAAAAGGTCTCCCTCCAAAATGCTGAGCAGAACCAGCTGGGGAAAAAAAGAGCCTTCAAGGACCATTCTCTCCTCTGATCTTCTCTCCCAAGAAGGTGAGTGCTGGGTAGAAGCAGGACTCTCTGTGACCTGTGCATACACACCCACCCCCACTGCATGTTGGCCACACAAAAACTGGAACTCATAGTTTCATAACCTACAGCTAGAAGTGTCCAAGGGAACATGAAGAAACTGAGCCCCAGAAAAGCAAGGCCCTTCTCCACTCCCTGACTCTGTAGGTCACTGGCTACTGAAAGATTGTTAACAGCTTTCTTTGGGGGAAGTTTGCACCAAAATTAGCTTTTCCAAAATGACTTTCTTACCTCTCTCTATCAAGTCTTTTGGTAAAAGAAAGAAGAGAGGGAGAGCAGAAGTGGGAAACAATGGAAAAATTAAGGAAGATAGAGAGAAGGAGGAGAAGAGAAAGAAGAAACAAAAGGAAGTGGGAAGGAGAGAGAAGAAAGGAAGGAAGGAAGAAATAAAGAGCCACTGAGGAATGTTTATACACTCAGCTTCCTGCTTTTCCACCTTTTCAGTCTCTGAAAATTGCTAGAGGGAGGAAGTGTCACTCCAGTCTAGAGAAAATCAAGGGATGACATCCCAGCACGCCCTCCCCATTCATCCTGAACTCAACCAACACCCCCTTCCCATCAACGTACCTTCACTGAAGACAAAATCTGAGATGATGTCAAAGGGTTGGATGTGGACTGCAGACAGGATCATGGTGACTGTCTTCTGTGGATCACTGGAGGGCAGTGAAATGGTCTGCTGGGCTTGACATTCATAGGACTTCCCAGCTGGGGTGACCAAGGCAGAGAGGTGATGCGAGTTGGCCGTGTGCTTCCCAGCTGCAGCAAAGGCCCAAAGCAATGGTTAGGCCCCTCTCACTGGCAGAAGCCTTATTCTTCCTAACCCAGCGTGCCACACAGTCGACTGGCCTCCCTGCTCCAGAACCCATATGCCTCTATTCTCTGTGTTGCCATGCCAAGGCTGGGACTCCTGGACAGATAACAGCAAGAGGTGAAGGACAAACACACCTTTCATCTGGTAGGCTGGGGCTTCTTAAATATTAATTCAAAATTTCTTTTGGGAAAGGAAAATGATACCTAAAATGCAAGCTTGTTAATATATTTTTATAAATTTTAAATTTTAAATGCATGTTTATTTAAATACTTGTATAAATATATTTTACATATATTTTTAAAAAGAAAGAACAGTGACTTTCTTTTCTACATTTCACATTGGCTCAGCAAAAGATAAAACAATGCATGGTTGATAGCTTGTTCTTTTGGCGACTCTCCTTGCGTGCGCGCACACACACACACACACACACACACACACACACAAACACACCCTTCGACAGTCCAACTCCTTTTTCTCCATTTCTGGCTTGTTTGGTTTTTGTGTTTTGTGTTTGTTTGTTGTTGGTTTTATTTAATATAACTGGGAGATATCTTGAATGTGATTTTTGACCAAGAAAAAAAATGTTTTTCCTATGATAAGGGGGGAAAAAAGGTGAACGAGGAGAAATGACGTCTATGTTCTTTTATGTGTTCAATAAAAATCCTGTCCCTGCACAGGTGCCTGGGTGATGGAAAGCCTCGTTATGAATGAAATAGACAGTATATGAAGAAAAAATAAATAAATGTCAGTGTGGTCTTTAATGGTGCCTGCAGATAAAAACATTGTCTTTCTGTAGTGCATGCTCGTGTCCCCGTATTTCGGAGGGTCTGGGTGAGTTGGAAGATGGGTGGAAAAACTAGTTCACTAACAATTGGTGCAGAATCTGCTCTGAGCTGGCTGTAGTCTATGACAGAGGAACTTATGTGAACCACCCTGCCATGCGCAGAAAAGATGCTGAACACCACCATCACATCGTGACCAAAAAGGAAAATGGCACCGCCCCATTGCAGTTTCAGTGCATGAGAAGAAAAATGAGGTACAAGAGAAAATAAAAATGTGGCTTTCCCCCCTCTCCTACTCTCCCTGTGGCCAAACCATAAAGAGCTGTTTGGAACACTCAGCAAATGGCAGACCCTCAAGAAACTGCATCTAGGATCATGCCCCGGGTCCTCAGGTCCAGGGTTCCTGACGCATCTACAAGGCCTCACTGAGATCCAGAGGACTCACCAGATGTTCTGCCTCCTCTGACCTGGAGAGCAAGCCAAGGAGGTACTTAGCTTGAGAGCACAAGACCAGATGGTGTCCAAAACCCTGAAGAATTCATCCTCCAAGCCTGTGCTCCCGGAGCTTTACCAGGCTTCTTCTCCAGCCCGACTGGTCCTTACTCACCACTGACTGCGTCTTTAAAGTGGGTCTTCTCCGAGGAGTCATAGACGAACTGCACCTTGCTCAGCTTCCAAGTCGCCTCCGGTCCCTTGGATGTGTTGTGGCTTTCCTGCCACAGGGTAGGTGCTCATCAATAGCCCTGGAGGCTTCTGGGTCCCAAAACCCAGCAACTGCCCCATCTCACACCCACCCTCAGCCTGTGGCCTCTGGGTTCCACAGGCTATGATTTACCTTTACAAAGAGCATCTTCAGAGCGTATGCACTATTCACCCAGGACACCTGCAGCTCCGACTCGTTGTGACCACAGTGGCCCTTCACTTCAGCTCCCCGGGTCAACGCAATATCAGCCTGTTCTGTGATCAGCTGGGAATACAGATGCCCCGCTCCCCCTCAGCGCGCCCAACCTCGTGGGGGCTGTAAAGGACTGCGCGCCCAAACTCTGAGATGCACGCTTGGGCGCTCCTTTGCGCGCGCGCTCTCCCAGGTCCGGGAACATGCGGTTAGATGCTGTACGTGCAGACCCGGCCCAGAAGGAAGCAAAGAGAAGGGGGTGTACTTTCAAAGCAGGCAAAGCGAGCAGGAGGCATTACAAGCCGAAATCCCCCATGCAGCATTCGGGAGCAGACTGCAGGGAGTAGGGGGGAAGGTGGGCGGCCAGGTCTTCGAAGGGCCTTGGGGGAGGGGGTGCCCTTAGCCCTAGAGCCCTAGAAGCAAGCTGAGAGGAAAAGGTTCGTTCCTTACATCGACGTAATTGCTGGCCCACACGTCATAAGGTACAATAAATTTGGCTGCAAACTCTGCCATGAGACACGTTGTCCCATTTTCCCGCACTACAAATATATCTTTTTCAGGGTTAGTGGAAAGGCCTGAGAGATTTTCCACTTCTTGTTCAGCCATGATTCGAGCCATTGCATCTGCAGAACAAACAGGAAAATCCCTTAAATTGAGGGCTCAGTGAGCCCTCCAGTCTGGGGCGCAAAGGTGGAGGGACTGTGGTCTGCAAAGCTTTGTGGAGACAAGTTCCCTGCCAGACACAGGGCACTCTCCCAGTCATTCTAACCTAGCGCTAGCAAACTCGAGTCCATTGCTGTTCATTTATAGCGAAAATAAAATTTAAAGTATTTACAATTGTAATATGCCTGGCCCTTTTCTGCCTCTTTGGGTTTCTAATCAAATCTTTCTTAATGGTCTGACCCCATGAAGCTGGCCTGTCTGGTTCTCAGTCTGGGATATGCCACACAGGTGTGTGGCTCTCAGGGGAATTCCCTGCCCGGCAGGAAAGTGCACCCCCACTCCCCACCCTCCACCACCAGAACCCACAAAATGTAAGAACTGAATTTTTATCTTTAGCTACTCAAACGTGCCTCCCGCCCCCTTCCCCCCCCCCCCCCCCCCTCCCGCAGCCTAAATGCTACTCACGGAGCAGCATCAGGAGAACTCGAAGTCTATGGACACCGGAGACTGCTCTTCCTAGGAGATCCATGCTCGCGGAGTAGCGAACGAGGCCAGATGTGCTGCTGCAGAGGCCGCCCAAGAGGGAATCCCTCAAAGTCGCTGCTGGAGTGGGCCGGGGTGAGCGAGGGGCGGGGGTGCGGAGAGGGAAGAGGGAGGGAGCGCGTGTTCTTTGCACGCTGGCTTGGACTCGGCGTCGATGTCGGGTTTCGGTGCAGTGCCGACCCGACCGATGCTGGCTGAGCAAGTCTGCTCACTGCAGAGAAAAGGACCGCGCGGTAAGGGAGCTGTCCACGGATGCGAGTGCTGAAAGGGATCGGTTGTGTTGCAGGAGTGGTTGTGGCTTGGCTTGTGCAGAGGGCCAATGAGATTTAGAGGGGGCTAAAATTCTCTCTGGGTCTGTTTCCTGTTCTGCAGTTGCATCTGCAAAGATGAGTCTGTCCTGAGAAACTTAATAGCACCCTTAGACTTATTAAATCCTCCTACCGGGTACAGTTATAATGTGCTGTAGGTATATCACTGGAGTCGTGTCTTCTGAAAAATGCATCCGGTTCCTGAAAGAAAACGGTAGAGCACAAATTGTTGCTGCTTTGGGGAGGAGGGGTAGGCAGGAATAGAGAAGGAAAATGCTATGGCAACAGTTTCCTGCATTTGGAGACATCCTTTCTTCTCTCTTGCTTTCAGTGAGCTCATGGGTTTAAAGTTAAATTGACGCCTCCTCAAACAAGGCCATCAGACAATGCAGTATCTTTTGGGCTCGTTTTTTCCTATCAGTTCTGCTCTCTGAGTGCATGAGTACTCTGAACTCTGGGATTACCTAACCTCACTCAGTACACTGTGATCACTCTGTCAAGTCAGTTGATCTAAGTTGGTGAACATTACCTAGGGTCTCTTAGGATAGGAATTTTAGAATTATGCCCTAAGTAATGTCACCTAGTTATGTAAGAAAAATACACACTGATGTTACTCTAAAGCCTCTAGTGGAACAGAAAAACAAATACTGCTGGGCTAATTCCTGTATTTACATTTTGGATGTCTTGCTTATTTTATATTTTTGCTCTATAAATTAGAATACAGCTCTATCAGGACTACACATGCCATCCTCATCAACTGGGGTGGTATCCAGATATCTCATTTCTTAGAGGATATTTCATTATGTGAATAAATCATTTTTGCATCAGCAATATAATGTCATAAAGTAAACTCATATTAGGGGCAAATTGCAAAATATTTTTAACTGCATTGTCCAATTTGATTTTCTTTACAACCTTGGAAAATAGGCAAAGAAAGAAATAAACTGTTGTAATTTTTCATACCTTAAAACTGAGGCTCAGAGAAATTAAGTGACCTTCCTAAATGTCACATGGTCAGTTAGAATTAAAATAGAAAAATCACATGATTTAACTTAGTACGGATCATCTTTATTGCACCTTATGTAATACTTTGACTTCAAATTATACAGTTTTGACTTCCATAAACATCTTTATTAAACGACCAGTTAACAAGCCTAAACATAAAATTTTTATCAATAGTTCACATTCCTAAAATGTGTAGAATCCTGTTATAATGTAGTCGTATTTGGACATAGTATTTGCTATAAAGTGCCTATATAATTTCTTGGTCTTTCAAAGATATCTCTGCATCAATAATCAGATCATAACAATTCAAATTGTAAATAATATTTAAATTGATACTATATTTTACTTGTATATCTGTATTTCAGTATCCCATCCAAGCATTTCTCAGGAACGTTATTTAAATTACTATATATATAGAAGAAATTGAGTAAAATTGTGATTAATATAAGGTCAATTTCTATCTGTTGCGAGTAGAAGTTTATGTGAACTGCATATTGTCATGTTAACAATTATTATTAAACACTTATTTTCCTCCAATACAGTAAAAATTAATAACAGAGACATATGCAATGAAGTATTTATTCTCTTCCTCTCTCTCTTTCTTTGTCTTTTTTCTCAATCTCTCTCTCTCTGAAATATTTTAATAAGGAAAGAACTGGTAGAGTTTAATCCAGGGTTCACTATTTATTATTTTTGTGACCTTGTACAGATTTTCATTTTCTTTGTCTAAAAAAAAGCAACAAAGTGGACTAATAGTTCAGGGGGTGACTAGTTAGGCCAAATGAGCTAATGAATACAAAAGCATTCAAACCAAAATACAAATTAAATTTCTGTAAACAATAACTGAATACTATGTATGCTATGCTTGGTGCTTTGGAAACTGTACAATAAACAAATACCATTATACAAGTAAGAGTCTGGGAAGAAAAGGCAGCCTGGGGCAGCCCATCCATGTGGAAACCAGAGGCTTTGTCCACCCTGGCCTAGACTCCTCTCCTCCTCATCCTCCTCCTCCTCCTCCCCCCCCCTCCCCCCCCCCCCCCCCCTCCCGCAGCCTAAATGCTACTCACGGAGCAGCATCAGGAGAACTCGAAGTCTATGGACACCGGAGACTGCTCTTCCTAGGAGATCCATGCTCGCGGAGTAGCGAACGAGGCCAGATGTGCTGCTGCAGAGGCCGCCCAAGAGGGAATCCCTCAAAGTCGCTGCTGGAGTGGGCCGGGGTGAGCGAGGGGCGGGGGTGCGGAGAGGGAAGAGGGAGGGAGCGCGTGTTCTTTGCACGCTGGCTTGGACTCGGCGTCGATGTCGGGTTTCGGTGCAGTGCCGACCCGACCGATGCTGGCTGAGCAAGTCTGCTCACTGCAGAGAAAAGGACCGCGCGGTAAGGGAGCTGTCCACGGATGCGAGTGCTGAAAGGGATCGGTTGTGTTGCAGGAGTGGTTGTGGCTTGGCTTGTGCAGAGGGCCAATGAGATTTAGAGGGGGCTAAAATTCTCTCTGGGTCTGTTTCCTGTTCTGCAGTTGCATCTGCAAAGATGAGTCTGTCCTGAGAAACTTAATAGCACCCTTAGACTTATTAAATCCTCCTACCGGGTACAGTTATAATGTGCTGTAGGTATATCACTGGAGTCGTGTCTTCTGAAAAATGCATCCGGTTCCTGAAAGAAAACGGTAGAGCACAAATTGTTGCTGCTTTGGGGAGGAGGGGTAGGCAGGAATAGAGAAGGAAAATGCTATGGCAACAGTTTCCTGCATTTGGAGACATCCTTTCTTCTCTCTTGCTTTCAGTGAGCTCATGGGTTTAAAGTTAAATTGACGCCTCCTCAAACAAGGCCATCAGACAATGCAGTATCTTTTGGGCTCGTTTTTTCCTATCAGTTCTGCTCTCTGAGTGCATGAGTACTCTGAACTCTGGGATTACCTAACCTCACTCAGTACACTGTGATCACTCTGTCAAGTCAGTTGATCTAAGTTGGTGAACATTACCTAGGGTCTCTTAGGATAGGAATTTTAGAATTATGCCCTAAGTAATGTCACCTAGTTATGTAAGAAAAATACACACTGATGTTACTCTAAAGCCTCTAGTGGAACAGAAAAACAAATACTGCTGGGCTAATTCCTGTATTTACATTTTGGATGTCTTGCTTATTTTATATTTTTGCTCTATAAATTAGAATACAGCTCTATCAGGACTACACATGCCATCCTCATCAACTGGGGTGGTATCCAGATATCTCATTTCTTAGAGGATATTTCATTATGTGAATAAATCATTTTTGCATCAGCAATATAATGTCATAAAGTAAACTCATATTAGGGGCAAATTGCAAAATATTTTTAACTGCATTGTCCAATTTGATTTTCTTTACAACCTTGGAAAATAGGCAAAGAAAGAAATAAACTGTTGTAATTTTTCATACCTTAAAACTGAGGCTCAGAGAAATTAAGTGACCTTCCTAAATGTCACATGGTCAGTTAGAATTAAAATAGAAAAATCACATGATTTAACTTAGTACGGATCATCTTTATTGCACCTTATGTAATACTTTGACTTCAAATTATACAGTTTTGACTTCCATAAACATCTTTATTAAACGACCAGTTAACAAGCCTAAACATAAAATTTTTATCAATAGTTCACATTCCTAAAATGTGTAGAATCCTGTTATAATGTAGTCGTATTTGGACATAGTATTTGCTATAAAGTGCCTATATAATTTCTTGGTCTTTCAAAGATATCTCTGCATCAATAATCAGATCATAACAATTCAAATTGTAAATAATATTTAAATTGATACTATATTTTACTTGTATATCTGTATTTCAGTATCCCATCCAAGCATTTCTCAGGAACGTTATTTAAATTACTATATATATAGAAGAAATTGAGTAAAATTGTGATTAATATAAGGTCAATTTCTATCTGTTGCGAGTAGAAGTTTATGTGAACTGCATATTGTCATGTTAACAATTATTATTAAACACTTATTTTCCTCCAATACAGTAAAAATTAATAACAGAGACATATGCAATGAAGTATTTATTCTCTTCCTCTCTCTCTTTCTTTGTCTTTTTTCTCAATCTCTCTCTCTCTGAAATATTTTAATAAGGAAAGAACTGGTAGAGTTTAATCCAGGGTTCACTATTTATTATTTTTGTGACCTTGTACAGATTTTCATTTTCTTTGTCTAAAAAAAAGCAACAAAGTGGACTAATAGTTCAGGGGGTGACTAGTTAGGCCAAATGAGCTAATGAATACAAAAGCATTCAAACCAAAATACAAATTAAATTTCTGTAAACAATAACTGAATACTATGTATGCTATGCTTGGTGCTTTGGAAACTGTACAATAAACAAATACCATTATACAAGTAAGAGATATACCTGCAAAAGATTATGACAATTTCTCTTGTGATATGTTATTGCAGATACCCTTGCTTTGTAAGTTGTTAAAAGATCAGCTGGATTAATTCATGATAATCTGCCTTAATAATATGCCATAATAATAAAAGATTAAATAGGAAGTAGCATTATACATCAATCTTAAAATATTGTAGGTGATTTATAACTTAGATAGTAGTTCCTTTGAAAATGGTTTCTTACCACACCTGACATAAATGATCTCTTTGTTGACACCAAAGAGTGCTCAAATGAATTGAAAGAAAAATAGAAGATCATTGTCAAAGTGTAATTCAGTCAATGCCCTTTTTGTCATTTAATCTGGAACATGGCTTACAAATATCCATTAACTATTCATGTTATCTCCAATTGTATGGTAGAATAGGAGTAGGATCATTAGTACTACAATTTTCACCTATACTAATTAAACAATATTTTAGTCATCTTGGAAAAAAATGTTAGTTCCTTAAAATAATCCAAGAGGTAAACGAGAGCAAAATATATCATCAAATTGTATTTTAATATAGTAACAATTTCCCAAAATTTCTCTGTTTTTCACTTCCCAGGTATGAGAGAAGATAGGAGAAACTTAGAGAAACACATATATTTGATGGTTGGTGTATGCATGCTTGTATGTTGGAATAGGTATGATGTGTGTATGTTGATGTGAATGTATTTTGGTTGGTGACTGTCAGTTTTCATCATTGCTTTTTGTGGGCAATAAAAATGTCAGGGATAAGTGTGAGCCAAAGACACTGAATGTGGGATCTCCCATAGATCTTCTAGGTTCTTCAAAGGATTCTATTCAATTCATGTATTCACTTATTGAATTAACCTTTATGAATCTCATGTCATCCAGTGGTTGCTTTTTCATAAAGTGGAAGCGAACACCCCTGAATAGAACCTCCAGTTTGTATGGGAGAAAATAAGCATAAGCCAGGATGTGGTATAGCCTGGCGTAATGGCATGATGTGCTCCATATTCGAGGTATTTACGGAAAAAAATATAAGACAGTCATTCCCAGAGAGGAAGGAAGCAGAAGTGGAACTGACCAAGGAAGGCTTCTTGAAATATGTGAGTCTAGAAAGTAGTAGGACAAATGGACCTGGGGTGGAAGACAAGAAAGGGCAATGAAGATGGAAGAAATATCTATTGAATAGGGGGATTAATGCAAAGATGTTTCTCTTCATCCTTCCACATTTATTAATTTGCAATAAAGATAAAATTAGGGCCCAAATCTATGTCTTAGTTGCTACACAACTCCTATTTGACTTCTTTACTTGACAATTTGCCCAGAGATGGCATACACAAAATATGTTCTTTATTGAACTAAACATTTTGAGTTGTTAGATACATTTATTTATACTGTTACACAAGCAATTGACTTGAGTGTATAGAATCAAAAACCAGAATGATGAAAATCAGGAAGCCAAGTGATGAAAATCAGGAAATAATACTAATTAGAAAAATGTATTTATGAGCTTCAAATGGATGAGGCTGGGCTTTGCCACAATTAAAATTTTGTTTACTGAGGTTTTAGTCCACCTCACAGTGAAGTGTAAAAATGTCCCAACACCAATGCCACCCTCTGTCCCCACCACACACACACACATACATGGAGATAATGGAACCATACATGAATATCAGAAATAGGGATACGTGCACTAAACTGAGCAAGAGGTACACAGCTGTCAAGCCAAGAATTATTACTCATTGACAACTTTTCTTGTATTCTGCTAATCACTGCAAAATTGTTTCATTTAATTTAATCACTGACTTTAAAAACTTTGAAATCCTTTCTAGGATAGAAGACTTTTTGGAATAGGAACTACATACAAGAACATTTTGTGCATAAATAGCCAAACCCTAGAATACTTGGAGAGGATCTGAAAATTGAATTTGGGCCTTTGATACACTCAACCTGCATACTCTTGAGGCCATTGCCTTCATTCAATTATTTCTTTGGTGTCTCCCAAAACTGCTTCAATGACCAAATCTATTTCTCCTGCTGTTTCTGCAGTGGAGGTATATAATAGTAGAACCAGCAAAATAATGGTGATTTCATTGGCTATGTTCACACTAAGTCTAAAGAAATGTCCATGGAAGAAGGCGGGAGATGAGACCCTCATAGCAAGCCTTTATTAAGTGGATGGTGAGAGGACAGTAGCAAAGATATCATTTTTGTCTTTTGAGCTAATAATCAACTAACTACACTGGTAAGTTTTAAGTGAGTTACATAAGGGTTCACTAGCTGTCACTAGCTTCAAGGTACACATTTTTGTGCTGGGAACACAAGTCCACTCTGCTTTCTCAGTGGTGAGAAAAACCTTGTTAACTTGGTGGCAGGGAGCCTTTCTGTTTAACAAGAGTGACTTTAAGCTTTCTTTGTCTGGGTTTCTTTTCCCCTTTAAGATATTTTCTCTCCAAGAATAACATCTACCAAGATGGGTATAAAGTTAGATGAGTTGTGGACCATTTGAAATACTTTGCTACTACCTGATCTGAGATAAGACAGTTCCCTAAAAATCTCTTTCATGGTGTGTCAAAGAGTCCTCTTGTCTCCTCAGTTAGTTACTCTTTTAAGTGTCTATCTGAAGTTTGAGCAAGAGAGTGAACTTGGAGCCAGAGTCAGAACCCCTGTGCTTCTAGGGACGCTTTGCTGGAGTAACTGGAGTTCTAGAGTGCTGCATGGGGTGGGGGATGGTCCTAAGGTTGTAAGTTTAGGACCCTTTCATGACTGTTTTTGTGAAAATATTTCAGGGTTCCCTCATAATGGAGAAAGGTGAAACTGGAAGAGTGTGTTGGAAAGGCAATTGAAGTCAGAGTCTAAGGAGCCCTGTGTTAGCTACAACTGTATTACTCCGGTAGGGACAGTATCTGGGAGGAGTAGCTTCACTTCTCTGTCTTCAACATACCTTTTTAAAAAGATCCCACCAGGACTAAAAGCCCCATACCTATGAATGGCCTTAGTAGGTAATCTGAGAAATTCCCTTGAGGGATGATGTTGGGAAATCCATTATTAAAACATAATAGCTTAACGTGCAAGAAGTGTATGCTGTTCACACATGGACTGTGGCCTGCAATGTTAGCTTGGAAGGAGGTAGGTGGGCCTGATGACTCAGGGATCAGAGTTCTTGGGCTAGGAATTTCTCCCAATGCTGGCTGCAGACTCTGGACCTGACAGCTTCTTCCGGAGGGGAGGGCAATGCTGCCCTGCCAGATGTTTTGCCCTGAGCTCAGAACCTGCTCTTTCTCTGTCTGGGGAAGACCTCAGGCACTACTTAGAGCTCTCTGGTATATTTATGCAACTGCTCTGGTAAAGAGTTGGAAGAGAGAATGGCTGTCTGGTTGCAAAGGTAAGGTCCACGCTGGCTCCAAAGCTAAAGCAAAAAAGTCTATCCTGAGGACCCAAGAGTTGAACAGCTTAGGACCAGGCGACTTATGGAAACCTTGAGGTCTTTTGTGTTCTGAGGTCCAGGGAAAGTGGAACTAGGAAAGGGAAGAAGGAAGTTCCCGGTGGAGCGTTCTTAGCTCCTCTACCACCTTCTCAGAAGCTCTTACGCTTCAGGACGCTTCAACCTGAGGGCAGATGGTGCGGCTTTGGCTCTCTCCAGAACCTTGGGCCTCTTGGTCCAGCTGCCCAGGAGAGAAACCCAGCGACTGGGGGGTGGGGGGAGGTTTTAAACTGCGGATTGGGAGGAGAACCGGTAGGTAGGCTTGCCTTCTTTCTTTTGTTATGTTATTTTCCTCTTCCCTCTCTTTCTCTTTCCTCTCTTTCTTTTCTAAACCACTGATTCAGTCTCTGCACCTCAAGAACCACCCCCACACACACACACACACACACGCAGTCCAGTGTCGATGTAAGACAGGAAGACGCTGCTCAGGGACTGGTCTGTTGCAGACTATCTTGGGACCCATTAAGAGGTTTTTCAAAGAGCTTCTGTTCGAAGTCGAAATTGGGAATGCCTAGGAGGAGTCTCCAAAAGTGCGCTGACAGCCTGGGACGTGTACACTGGAGATAGCGGCCTTGGCAAGCGGTATAAGACTGCCTTTCGGACCAGGTAAGAAGGTGGACCGAACCGCTGGTGCCTCTCAGCTAGGGGCCCTGGTTGCTACTCTAAGCACCGGACCTAGAACTGGGACTGAAACTCCCATCTCCCACTTCCACCTGCTGGGGCAGCCCGGCTGCTGGAGGCTGGGGCAGCCCGGCTGCTGGAGGCTGGGGCCCTGAGTTTAGGGTTTTGTTCTGCTTCCCTCCCCACCCCAGTCTGAGAAGAGTGAGCCTAGGGCATTCTCCACTCTGGTTTGCAGCTGGAAGAAAAACCTAGCTTTCCACCTTACTAGGAGACCATCGAGGGGCAGTGAGGGAAAATTCTCCGCCCTAAATTGCTCCTAAACCTAGGTGCACCGCGCGCCCTTCCGAGTGGAGCCCGACTAGTAAATGGCCCTACGCTGCTGGCTACGCGAGAGCTGAGGATCTGGCGGTGCCAGCCCTGGGTGGCCAAGCCCTGGCCTCTCTCTCCTCTTTCAGCCAACCCAGCCAAGTGAGAACTCTGGGAGGCCCCTCACCACGAGGTCTTTCTCGATATTCTCTTCAAAGAAGGGCATAAAACCTTCTCATTTGGATTTTTTCTTCTCTGTGGGGACCATTCGCTTTGTTTCTTTTTTCCTTAATCTAACAGCAAATTTGGGATTATTCTAGATTTACCCCATCCCATGGGCTCGCCCAGGCCTCTGCCACCCACAGCCTGCTTGTCTAACGTGTTCCCGAGTCCAGGAAGTTATCCACCTGGACACATCCCAGGTCCAAATCTCTTTCCTTTCCAAGATTTTCTAATTCGCATAGGTCAATTTCTTTTTCTTTGTTTCTTTTTGACTTCTGTCCTTTCTTTTTCTTTCTCCACCCTCCCTCTCTCCCTTAGGTTCTACCTTTTTCCGCCAGTGAAACAGCCAGGTCTAGGCAGATTTGTAACTGTCTCCTGGAACACCGCTTCCGAAGGCTCACCCAAGCCAAAGGCCCTTGGAGATCCAAGCCCAAAGTCTCTGCATGCAAGGCGCTCCGACACGGGTCACCTAGAAGCGTAGAGCCCGGGCGGTAGCCGCTGCGAGGTTGTTCCAGGGCGACTTCCTGGGCGCGCACAGATGGGGGACGCCTCCGGCCGCACGCCGGGCCAGCTGGGGCTCCCGGGAGCCCTGCGCTGATGGATGGTCTCATTTCCTGACTTGATGGGCCGGAACCTGGGATCGCGGAGCCGGAGGGGAGGAGGGTGGGCGCAGGGACTCAGCCGGAGGCCGCATCTGCGGGATGAGCAGCGTCTGCACACGATTTTGGTGGTGGTGGGTGGGAGAAGGGTACATATTTTGGAGAAAAATCCCAAAACCCACTCCGAAAGCAAGAATATCCTTTCTTCTCCTGCCTTTGGTCGGTATAGGCGCGGCGTCCTGGGTGGCCAGTGGACTTCGGAGCTGAGAGCGACGGTGGATCCCTGGAGCGCAGATCGAGGGGCAGCCTCCTCGCCTAGGGCTTCCACTTGAGTCTACACTGCACCTTTTGGCATCCGTTCCCGCTGAAGGCTACAGGAGAACAGGACTCACCCTTCCAACGCCCAGAAACAGGCCCAGGAAGCCGGCAAAACAAAACAGAAAAACCACCCCTCCGTTCTGAGTCCATCCAAAGCCGGCATCTCCTACGGACTGCGAATTTGAGCTTCCGCACAGAATTCGCCTAGAGCTCCGAGGAGCGGTCCCTAGGCGCGACCAGGCCAAGGGCCAGCTCCGTGCGACATCCTGGCTACCTTGTCACCGGGGCTGGGAGGAAGACCACAGGGCAGGCATTGAGAGTCGGGACTGACTAGGGGAGGCTTGTAGAAGGGTGCGTGGGAAAATGCACGTTGGAACATTTGACTCTCCTCTGTTCAAGGCTTCACAGCAAGACCCAAAAAGCCTGCGCTCCCGGGGAGGGTGAGGTGGTTTGTCCCTGTTCGGGCACTCACTCAGAGCTCAGGCGGAACCTCTGGCAGAATCTGAGGGAGTCTGACACGGAGAAGGACCCTGCAAGGCTGAGCTTAGGTGAGAGGAGAGCTTCTGAGCTGGAGAAGAGTCCAGTCACTGGAGGGTTTCCTTTCAGCTTCCTGTCCAGATCTCTTGAACTCGAACTCTGCTTCTGCTTTAAGATCCCGGTTTGAGTTCCAGACCTGAAGGCTGGCGCGCTCTCTCTCTCCCTCTCTCTCATATGTCCTATAGCAAATTAAAATACTAATAAATAAAATTAAATAAATAATTATTTAAGAAAAGTATTCTAGACTGTCCCTGGGAGAGTCCTAAGGTATGGGGGAGGGAGATGGGGGGTAAGGGGGGTTTCAGGGAGTTCCTATTCTTGGTGGCACACTTTGGCAGAATAGCTGCCCAAGCCTGCCTGAGCCGGGACAGCCAGGAAAGCCACAGCTCTCTAGAAGGCAAGGAAACACCAGCAGTTCAGGGCATCCTGACAGTACAGCCCGAAGTCTAAAATATGATTCTTTAGACCAGTAGAATCACCTTCCAGAGACTCAGAGTTCAGGCTCTACCTAGCCCATCTGCATCAGAACCTCCATTTAGCTAGATGTCCAGAGCAGTCCTCAGTAGTGCAGCCACAAGGCAATGCTTTTCCATGCAGAGGCCACATAGGAAGGTCCCGGATTCGAATTCACTTTCTGGGATCTCCCTGTGTTTGCTGGGCAAGGATACCTGCCTTATTCTGGCCTCTCTGGTGGATGGTGAGGGCCTTGTTGAGAGTGCCAGTTGTATTCTCTTATACAGAAGAAATAAGTGAATAAATAAGTAAGTTTTTACGATATCCCAGGACCAGCAGTTGACGTAATGACTATGTCACTGGACTCCCATGTAATTGACCACGATTCGAGTCCTGGACCTGGTAGCTTAAACTCATGCTGGGTGCGTGTGCGTGCGTGTCTAAGACTCCAAGAGGAGATAGAGTAGAAGGAATTGCTGCATGGCCATCCCCCCTGGGGGACAATTTCTCACTTTCTGTCTCTCTGTCTCTCTCTGTCTTTCTAGTGAGGGCACCAGCCCAATAACAAAATCCTCTAAAAAAAAAAAAAATTGATATCCTGGAGGGCCAGCTGATGGTACAGTGGTTAAGGTGGCTATATCCCACATGGCTAACTTTTCAGTTCAAGTCCTGGACCTGGTGGCTTGAAAAAGATGCCAGGTATGTGTGCATGCATGTCCAAGATCCTGAGAGATGTGTGGAAGAGAAGGGATTGCCGCCGGGGAGGTGATTCCTCACTCCTCCATGCCCCTTCTCTCTGTTTCTCCCTGATGCATGCACCCTATAGCAAAAAGTAAATAAATTAATTAATTAAAAGATATTCAGGGAACTTGTGCACATTTATGTTGGAGAAAGTCTGGCCTAATTTAGACTCCAAGTTTAGCCGTTACTAACTAGTTCAACCTTGTGTCGCCTGGGTTTTTCTTTATCACCAGTTAAATGGCAGTTGTTTTGGAGGTACTGGGGAGCTCTCAAGCACCCCTGGACACACTATAGACCAGCACAATTAGAATCTGCAGATGATGGAGTCAGGCAAGAGTATGTCTTCAGTGTCCTCAGGCAATTTAATGGCAGCTAGGGGTGATCATGACAGAATTACTCACTTTACAGATTGGTCAGAATTAGCTGGAAATAAGGCCTAAGTCTTATGCAAGACAATATGTACAATCGTTAAGGCCACTGAGCTCTGTGACCTGGTTCATTCTGACTCCAGCAAATATGGACGAGAGCCAGCTAATTAATCTTGCTGTCCCTCAGTGTCCTTACCTGTAACTAGGAGTTGATAATAGTGCCTACCACAAAGGATGTTGTGAGGATTTAGAATCAAACATGTAAAATCAAATTTAAGATATGTTAGCTCATCAAGTCAAATCCTTCAAATTCACATTTTAAATTATCGGATCATTGGAAAAGTTATGACATACTTTTTGCATAGAAAAACAGAAAAATACGTCATGACTTTTCAAATGACCCAATAAAATGATACAGGGTTCTGACTGCTTTTTTATCTCACTTTAGCCACCCTCTCCCCGGCTACCATCTCTGCCAAGTAGCTCTCTTCCAGAGCATGATGGCTTCTTTTTGCTTCAAACATGTCTATTCTCAAGAATTTACCAAAAATCACTTAGTAATTCAGAATGCCTGATCTTTTGCAAAAGTTGATTTTGCCATCTTCAGTAATTTTGTTCATAGTCTACCAGTTTTAGAAGCAGTATTATGAAGCATGCTCTTAGAAATGACCTTATCAGAACAGCCACATGAGAAGACTTGACCTGGAGATGTAGGTTGAGGATGGAGCTGGTTTTTGCTTATTTAGCAAGTTACGAAGTAGTGCCAGAGAGAACCCTACTTTGGAGTTGGTTCAGAACATGTCAAAATCTCAGCAGCACTGTCCAGTGAAAATGTAGTACAAACCATGTATGCAGTCATATTATTTTAAAGAATTATTCATTTATTTTAATTTATTGTTATTATTATTTTCCAATTTGCTACAGGGTATGCATTCTCACCACAGAGAAAGACAGAGTGAGAGAGTGAGGGAAAGGGAAAAAGCAAGCTTCCAGGTTGAGGACTCAAACAGTGGTTAGCCATATGGGAGTCCAGTGCCCCAATTATTATACCACCTGCTGGCCCTGTAGCCATATTTTAAGCAACAAAAATGATGAGACCAGACAGTGGCCCAGTAGTAAGATGTTCTAAGAGGCAGAGCCACACGTCATAGTTCCAGATTCACGTACAAGACCTCCTGAGTCTGACACACACACATGTACCCATGGTCAGAGGCTGGCTGACAGTGGATTGTATTGTCAAGAGCGTTGGGGAGTTCTCTCTCTCATGAAAGAAATAAATAAATAAGCTTTAAAAAACATAAGAAGGAAAACAAGTAAAATAAAATTTAATAATAGATTTTATTTAACTTAAAATATATATATTCAAAATATTTCAACATCTAATTAAGAACAAATGTAGTAATTAGATAGTTTGCATTTTATTTTTGTAGTAAGTCTTTGAAAACTGGTATTTCTAATATGGAATAACTACATTTCAAGTGCTCAAAAGCTCAAGTGTCTGGTGACTGCTGTATTACACAATGTAGGTCTTGTAAAATCTCTCCAACTGGAAACAAGTAGAACTGAATTTCATTGCTCTCTGGGAAACTGACGTGAAATGTGCAAAACCCAGAAATTCCAAATAGTTTTGCCTTTACAGAGTTTATTAATCTACTTGAATTGCCAAAAAAAATCTATAGATTAGGTGGTTTACACACAGATATGTATTTATTTTAGTTATAGAAACTGGAAATTGGAGATCAGGGCGCTTGCATGGTTGGGTTCTACTGAGGGCTCTTCCCTTGACTTGCTAAATAAGCCATGTGCTGCCTCTGGAATGTGTTCTCATGGTGAAGAGCAAGCTTCAGAGTCTCTTTTTTTGAGGGCACTAATCCCACCGCCACCCTTATAACATCATCTAAATCTAATCATCTCCCAAAGACACCATCTCCAAATACTAGTCCACTTGGGATTTGGGCTTCAACATAAGAATTCTGGGGAGACACAATTCAGTTCATTGCATATCATCTGTTTCTTCATATTTACGTGAGAGGCAGGGGTTATGAGAAATATGAAGAAGGATCAAAAGAGTAGGAGTCTGTCAGTCACGTAGAAGCTATGAGATAGGGGCCATTACATTACTGGTGTAATCATCAACTGGGTTCATGTTTTGCAAGGATGTAGGGGGCCAGATGGGTGCACAGCAGTAATACAACTGGACCCACAAGATAAAGGTCCTCAGTTTATGTTCAGGGACTTCCCTGAGAGCATAGTCCATGCCCATGATCAGGCTGACCAAACCCTGGGGAGGATCATGGCATGAAGACCCTGTTGGGAGTGCCCACTTGTCTCCATCTAATAAAAGAAATAAATAAACTTAATAACAATAACAATTAAAAAGGAATGTTAGTGGACATGTCTTGTTTTGCTCCTTCCCCATCATAGTCATCTATGATTACTTCCTACACTATTTCCCTTGGAGGAAACACTATTCTTAACTCTCATTTCATGGAACACTGGCAATGTGGAATCTGCCATAATTCTTGATTCCAGGATTATGAAGTTTATGAAGGAGGATGAGGTGTTTCCCAGGGATTGTGGAAAATGTATTTTGTTCTTCTCTAGATTTGGCTAAGAAGCTGTAAGCTCCTAGAAAGTAATAATTTAAGCTTCAACCATGAGGAAACAGACTTTCCAGTGACAGAGAAGATCAGAACTAAGAAAAGTCAACACCACAGGGTTTTTATTCCCAGACTCAGTTGCACTTAAAAGCAGTTGTGAGCCAATCCACCTTCCTTACCTTTTTAAAGATAAGAGAGAATGGGACCAGCAGTTAGTGTAATGGCTATGTCACTGGACTCCCATGTAGTCGACTGCGGTTCGAGTCCTAGACCCGGTGGCTTAAACTCACGTCAGGCACATGTGCGTGCATGCCCAAGATCCCGAGAGGAGAACGGAAGAGAAGGGGTTGCGGCATGGCCATCCCCCCGGGGGGTGACTTCTCGCTTTCTATCTCTCTGTCTCTGTCTTTCTGGCGAGCACACGTGCCCTATAGCAAAAACCTCTAAAAAAAAAGATAAGAGAGAGCTATGTGGTGCATTGATATTGCTTACTAGAAGCCAGATACCACAGGGTGACCATGGTTCAAGTCTCCAGCTTGGTTGGCCTGAAACACAACAGGTATGCACATTACTGCCCAGGGTCCAGTGGGCTGGGGGACTAGAGGAAGAGGATAGTGGACTGGCCAGACCCTGGGGAGGATGTTCATCTCTCTCTCATTCTCACAGGTGTGTGCATGTACTCTATCCTGAATAAAAAAAAAAAGAAAAAGAAAAAGAAAAAGATGGGAAAGGAAGAGAAAAGAAATCCATTTTGTGGGTTTGTAGTTATACAACTTGGACCAGGGTGGCACTTTGCATTTTTGTTGGGCACCTTGTACTAGCTTTCAAGCATTATTATTTTAAAAACAACATACCAGCAGACAGTATAACAGTTATGTCACTGGACTCCCACATGGCCGACCACAGTTCAAGTCCCAGACCTGGCAGCTTCAAACTCACACCAGGTGCGTGTGTGAGTGCGTGTGCACAAAATCCCTAGAAGAGAGCAGAGGAGAAGGGATTGTGGGATAGCC